CTCAACCTCCTTGGTTCAAGCAATGCTCCTGTCTCAGCCTCCTGATTAGCTGGGACTTCAGGTACATGTCATGATGCCTGGCTTTTTTTTTTTTTTTTTTTCTTTTTTTTTTTTAGACAGAGGCTCTCTCGTTACCCAAGCCGGAGTGCAGTGGTGCGATTTTGGCTCATTGCAACCTCCGCCTCCTGGGTTCAAGTGATTCTCCTGCCTCAGCCTCCCGAGTAGCTGGTATTACAGATATGTGCCACCACGCCCGGCTAATTTTGTATTTTTAGTAGAGACGGGGTTTCTCCATGTTGGTCAGGCTGGTCTCAAACTCCCAACCTCAGGTGATCCACCCATCTCGGCCTCCCAAAGTGCTGGGATTATAGGCGTGAGCCATCATGCCCGGCTTGCCTGCTAATTTTTAAATTATTTTTTGTAGAGACAGGGTCTCGCTATGCTATCCAAGCTGGTCTTAAATTCCTAGGGTCAAGTGATTCTCCTGCCTCAGCCTCCCAAATACTGTGATTACAGGTGTGAACCACTGTACCCAGCATCCTCTAGTCTTAAATGCTATTGTGATGGCCAGAGCTGCAACAGTCATCCTGGATATATGAAGCAAAAAGCATGAAGTCAAGAGCCAACATACTGAGGATGGAAGAGCAGAAATACAGAAAAACCTTAAGTTGTCAATGACAGTGTTGAGCAGGGGAAACTGCCAAGAACTACCTATTTCCAGAATTCTTGTTATGTGAGAAAACTAAAGCCATATTTTCAAAGCCAGTATTAGTTGGATTGTCTATTACAGGGAGCTACATACTTTTCTAGGAAAGTGTAAATACTACAAAAGACAATAAGTCTAATATCAACCAGGTGCAGTGGCACATGCCAATAACTCAGGAGGCTGAGGTGGGAAGACTACTTGAGCCCAGGAGTTCAAATCCAGCCTGGGCAACATAGCAAGACCCCATCTCCACACTTGATCTTAGCCAAAAGGCTGATAAACAATAAGACCCAATTTCTTAAAAAATAAAAATAAAATCAGATGATGGAAGACAAAAAGAATAAAGGGAAAGAATAGGAAAGATTCCATTATCAATTACATCTTTCTTATAACAGTCATTAGATCAATCTAAAGAAAATGATCATTAGGGCATATATAAAGTTATTATAAATGCATTCAATAGAAAAAAATAAACATTCTATATTATTGGAATAAATACAAACAAAAATAAAGGAAAGGAAACACAGATCACATTTTGAAAATAAGTAAGGCTATAGATGCGAAAAGCATATCCCAATAATATGATATATTCCAAACCAAATACAATTTGTGTAAATAAATGTGAATACTTGGGGGTCTCTCTAAGCCTTCTCTGGCTATAAAGGCTGCCCATAAAAAAATTTAAAAACATTTTTAGGCTGGGCACAGTGGCTCGTGTCTGTGTTCCCAGCACTTTGGGAGGCTGAGGTGGGCAAATCACATGAGGTCAAGAGTTCGAGACCAGTCTGGCCAACATAGTGAAACCCCATCTCTACTAAAAATACAAAAATTAGCCAGGCATGGTGGCACATGTCTGTAGTCCCAGCTACTTAGGAGGCTGAGGCAGGAAAATTGCTTAAATCCGGGAGGTAGAGGTTGCAGTGAGCCGAGATCGTGCCATTGAACTTTAGCCTGGGTGACAGTACAAGACCCTGTCTCAAAAAAGAAAAAGAAATCTAAAAATTAAAAATTAAAAAAAGTGAATACTTAATATTACCTAGTAGGCTGGGAGCAGTGGATCATACCTGTAATCCCAACACACTGGGAGGCTGAGGTGGGAGAATTGTGTGAGGCCGGGAGTTCGAGACCAGCTTGGAGCAACATAGGACCTATCTCTAAAAAAAAAAAAAAAAAAAAAAAAAAGTATATCTAAAAGGAAAAATTGACAAATTGCATTTCATGAAAATGAAAAACTTCTGTTCTGTGAAAGGCCCCATTAAGAAGAGGAAGAACAAGCTACAGAGTGGAAGGAAATATTTGCAAACCACATCTGACAAAGGACTAGGATATAAAAAGAACTCTCAAACCCCAGCAATTAAAAAAGCACACAAAGGAAACAATCCAATGAGAATTCGCAAATACCTGAACAGGCATCTCACCAAAGAGGATACACAGATGGCAAATAAACACATGAAAAGATATTCAACATCAATAGACATTAGAAAAATGCAAATTAAAATCACAGTGAGACATCACTACATGTCTATTAGAATGGCTAAAATAAAAACTAGCGATACCACCAAATGCTTTGAAGGATACAGAGAAACCAGATCATACATATATTACTGGTGAGAATGTTAAATAGTACAGCCACTCTAGAAAACAGTTTGGCGGTCTCTTATAAACTAAACATGCAACTACTATATAACCCAGCAATTGAACTCTTCTCTTATCCCAGAGAAGAGAAAACTTATATTCACACACACAAAAACATGTACATCAATGGTCATAGCAGTTTTGTTCCTAATAGCCCCAAACTGGAAACACTGTAAATGTCCTTCAATGGGTGAATGGTTAAACTGTGGTACATGATACCATGGAATACTACTCAGCAATAAAAGGAACAAACTACTGATACACACAACTTCGATGGATCTCAAGGAAATTATGTTGAGTGAAAAGGCCAACCTTAAAGGTTTTATATTTAGGATTCCATTTAAAAAACAGACTTGAAATTACAAAATACCAGAGATAAAGAAAGAATGTGTAGTTGTCAAGGGTTAAGAATTGAGGGATGGGAGAAGGATGAAAGGAAGTTGTGGTTATTAAAGAACAAGAGGAGATTCTTGTGTTGATGGAACTGTTCTGTATCTTCACTGTGGTTGTGGATACACAAAACTACATGTAATCAAACTACATAGAATTAAATTCAATTAAACTTCTAGAAGAAAACAGTTATCTCCATGACATCAGGGTAAGCAAAGATTTCTTAAACAGGACCAACACATAAAAATAACAGTAACCATGAAAGATCATTTGGTACTTTGGACTTCATTAAGATTAAGAATTTCTTTTGTTTGTTTGTTTGTTTAGATGAAGTCTTGTTCTGTTGCATGGACTGAAGTGCAGGGGCACGATTTCTGCTTACTGCAACCTCTGCCTCCTGGGTTCAAGTGATTCTCCTGCCTCAGCCTCCTGAGTAGCTGAGATTACACGTGTGTGCCACCATGCCCGACTAATTTTTGTATTTTTAATAGAGACTGGGTTTTGCCATGTTGGCCAGGCTGCTCTTGAATTCCTGACCTCAAGGGATCCACCTGCTTTGGCCTCCCAAAGTTCTGGGATTACAGGCATGAGCCACCGCGCCAGTCAAAAAGAAAAATTTTTTTTGATAAGACAATCTTAGAGTGGGGAACATAAATTGGTACTGCCTCTATAGAGGGAAATTTAACAGCAACAACAGGAATGTTTAAATGTTTAAAATGTACTCTTCAATTCCTAGGAATTTAATCCTGTAGATAAATTCATACATATGGAAAGTGATTCGCATTTGCAGTCATTCACTTCAGGATTATTGGTAAATCTGTAAACAACTTAGTCTATCATAGGAGACTGAAAAATAAATTATTATTTATTCAGTCAATAGAATACCGTTAAACTGTTGAGAAAAGGAAGCTTTTTATTTTTTTATTTTTTTATTTTTTATTTTGTGAGATGGAGTTTCATTCTTATTGCCCAGGCTGGGGTTCAATGGTGTGGTCTCGGCTCACTGCAATCTCCATCTCCTCGGTTCAAGTGATTCTCCTGCCTCAGCCTCCCAAGTAGCTGGGATTATAGACTCCTGCCACCATGCCTGGCTAACTTTTTTGTATTTTTAGTAAAGATGGGTTTTCACCATGTTGGCCAGGCTGGTCTCAAACTCCTGACCTCAGATGACCCACCTGCCTTGGCCTCCCAAAGTTCTGGGATTATAGGCATGAGCCATGGCACCTGGCCAAGGAAGCGTTTTATGAATCAGTAAGGAGGTGTTAAAGAAAAAAAAAATTAAGGTGAAAAAAGAATTATATGTATTATATATTTTTTATTTTTAAAATTTTAAAGTTTAAAATTTTTTAATTTTAGTGGCAGTGTCCTGCTCTGTCACGGAGGCCAGAGTGCAGTGGCCCAATCATAGCTCACTGCAGCTGCCCACTCCTGGGCTCAAGCAATTCTCCCTCCTCAGTCTCCTGAGTAACTAAGATGACAGGTGTGCACCACCATGCCCAGCTAATTAAAAAAAAAAAAAAAAAAGATTTTGTATGCGTGGCTGAGGAATTCATGTGGAGGTCAGTGGAAGCAAGTGTGAGAGGGTCCAGCAGAAGGAAACATGGCTGCCAGAGTGTTTGAGTCCATTGGCAAGTTTGGCCTGGCCTTAGCTGTTGCAGGAGGCATGGTGAACTCTTGCCTTATATAATGTGGATGCTGGGCACAGAGCTGTCATCTTTGACCGATTCTGGGGTACAGGACATTATGGTAGGGGAACGAACTCACTTTCTCCTCCCATGGATACAGAAACCAATTACCTTTGGCATTCTCGACCACATAAGGTGCCAGTCATCACTGGTAGCAAAGACTTACAGAATGTCAATACCCCACTGTGCATCCTCTTCCTGCCTGTCCCTAGCCAGCTTCCTTGCATCTTCACCAGCATCGGAGAGAGCTGTGATGAGCCTGTGCTGCCATACATCACTACAGACATCCTTAAGCAGGTGGTGGCTCGCTTTGAGGCTGCAGAAGCAATCACCCAGAGAGAGGTGGTCTCCAGGTGCAGGTGGTCTGCACAGATGCAGGCAGGGTGGGCCCTCACTGGTGCAGCGGAAGGAGCAGGTACTTCCCCGCCTCAGGCGCGTGAGAGCTGGCCCGCGGTATCCCCGGTGGCTTCCGGCTGGCCCGGCTCCATCAGGCCAGTCCCCGCGGTGGCCAGTGAGGTGGTGATCAGCTCGGCTGCCTTGGAGTAGCCCTCAGCAGATATCATGGCTGCCTTTTTCTGCTGCCCAGCCTTTTGCACCACAAATCTGGCCCTCTCTGCTTCCTGCTGAGCCACGTGTTTGGCTTCCACTGCTTCTGTGAACTCCTTCCCGAAGGTCAGATGTGTCGAGGAGACGTCGTCCAGGATGAGCCAAAAGGAGGCTGCTGCTCCGTAAGGTCGTCCTTCACCAAAAAAAAAAAAATATATATATATATATAACATTTATGTACACACAAACATATACATATATACACACTTTTTTTTTTTTTTTGAGATGGAGTCTTGCTCTGTCGCCCAGGCTGGAGTGCAGTGGCACAATCTTGGCTCACTGCAAGCTCCGCCTCCCAGGTTCACGCCATTCTCCTGCCTCAGCCTCCCGAGTAGCTGGGACTACAGGTGCCCACCACCTTGCCCGGCTAATTTTTTGTATATTTAGTAGAGACGGGGTTTCACCGTGTTAGCCAGGATGGTCTGGATCTCCTGACCTCGTGATCCACCCACCTCGGCCTCCCAAAGTGCTGGGATTACAGGTGTGACCCTCAGCGCCCAGCCATACACCACACGTTTTTAAAGGTAAAAAAGAATTGTACATATATACATACATTTTATATGTATATATACATTTATAGGTGAAAATGAATTGTATATGTATATATACTTATATATGCATATATGTAAATATGTAAAATATAAAATTTCGATTAAAAGGAAGACAAAAGTGGTTTAAAAAAAATACAAAAACCAAGCCTATCCCCTTACTTCTAGACTGCTTCTCTTCACTTCATACTGTGTATCACTTGGTTAAATTCCTAAAATGCCAGCCTTCATCAGTTTGTTGTTAAAACGTAAAATTGTGGCTGGGCGCGGTGGCTCACACCTATAATCCCAGCACTTTGGGAGGCTGAGGCAGGTGGATCACGAGGTCAGGAGATGAAGACCATCCTGGCTAACATGGTGAAACCCCGCCTCTACTAAAAATACAAAAAATTAGCCAGGTGTGGTGGCGGGTGCCTGTAGTCCCAGCTACTCGAAAGGCTGAGGCAGGAGAATGGCATGAACCCTGGAGGCGGAGCTTGCAGTGAGCCGAGATCACGCCACTGCACTCCAGCCTGGGCGACAGAGTGAGACTCCATCTCAAAAAAAAAAAAAAAGAAAAAAAAGTAAAATTTTGATTTCATAGATTCTGGGTGAGATTGGTGGGACTGGCATCTGAGGTTCTGTGCTTCCTTTTTTTTTTTTTGGAGGCAGTCTTGCTCTGCTGCTCAGGCTGAAGAACATAGTGGTGCAATCACACCTCACTGCGACCTCAACCTACCCTCCCACCTCAGTCTCTGGGGTAGCTGGGATTATAGGCACGTGCCCCCACACTCAGCTATGTTTTGTATTTTTTTGGTAGAGATGGAGTTTCTTTCACCATATTGCTCAGGCTAGTCTTGAACTCTTGAGCTCAGGTGATTCTCCTGCCTAGGGCCTCTTATGGATTACAGGTGTGAGCCACTATGCTTGGCTGGTTCTGCAATTGTAACAACTCCTAAGTGATGCTACTTTTGAGTAGGAAAGAGCTAGAATGTACAACCTTTGAATTCACATCACATTTACTATATGCAACTTTGTTTGATAATGTGTGAATACCTTGCCTACTCACTTGCATTTGAAATTCCAAGAAAGCTTCTAGCAGCACTTGAACAGCTGATCATCCTTTCCTTCTCAAAACATTTTTTCCTTCTGCTTCCTTGACATTACAGTCCCCTACTTCTGCTTGTACCTCAATGTCCTCACCTTTCAGTCTTTGCATGTGCTTAATAAGTAAGTAAATCTTTATGCAGACTCATTGCCTATTACTAAGTATAATATATACTGATGCAAACACCATGGCACAGCTCCTGAATGGTTCTAGAGAGCCTTTCTCATACTGTGTCCCTCAATAAGAGTTTACATATTTTGTAGGTAGGACAATAGCCTTACGAATGAAGTCTTGGTGATGCAGCCAGACACTCAGAGACTCCAAGTCAAATACTCATTGGTTAGATCAAATATAATTTTGCCATAGTCTGAGGATTAGAGCAGGTCACATTATACTAAAGTATTTGTTGGGCTGAACCTTGCAATATGTATTTTTTAGAAGACTTTATTTTTTAGAGCAGTTTTGGAGCATCAAAATTAAGAGGACAGAGATTTCCAACATATCCCCTGCCCACCTCACAATATATTTTATGCATGAATAGTTATGATATTTTCAGCTGTATATAATGAAACCTAATTCACACCAGCTAAAACAATATGGAATTTTGTTATCTCGCAAAACAAAGTCCAGTGGTTAGGGTGTCTAGAGAGCCATGCTCTGGCTCCATTTCTATGCTATTCTCCCAGCTCTGCCTTCCTCAGAGTGTAGGGTTCATCCTTAAATGGCTTTCCTCTTGGCCACATGATGGTTGCCAGCAGCAGTAGTGGTAACAGGTACCCTTATTCAAGTATAAGTGGAGAGAAAGGAAACCTCTCACCTACTGTTGAATGTAAGTCTTTCCCTTCAGTTTGATTGGTCAATGTATATTCTCCCCCAGACCAGTGATAGTCACCATAAGAATGCTATGTGCTGATTGCCTTAAGCCTAGTTCTGGAGCAAGTAACAAACATGGGCATGGAAGTAGGAATACCATGTTTTCACTAGTCCTAATAAAACAGCTAGGGCTAGAGATAAGGTGAGATTCAAAGAATTATGTAGAATTCATGGAAGAGAGGGGAAATGTTGAACAAAAGCAAAGTTCTTTAGGAAGGAGAAGGGGAAAATAAATTCTGAAATTAACTAAGTTATATTACTATGCTAATAGTAATTGTATAATAGCTTTTATAATTTATTGCTTGTTCTCTATATAGCTAGCTTCAGAGTGAGATGTACACTGATGTATTTGAAAGTGAAACCTTAATTACAAGTGCCAAGAAGCATGAACACATAATTCATAAATTAAGATACAGTCTTAATACCATTTAGACACAGTCTAAAGTACCATTACATCCAGCTTCCTGAGTTTTACCATTGAACTCAACAGATATTCTGCCTATTTCCATGGTTCCATTAACACAGACCCAAATTATGTGAAAACTGACACATATGCCCAATTTATTAAGACATGGAGAAATTCTACTTTTTTTTTTTTTGAGTCAGAGTCTTGCTCTGTTGCCCAGGCTGGAATGCAATGGTGCAATCTTGGCTCACTGCAACGTCCACCTCCCAGATTCAAATGATTCTTCTGCCTCAGCCTCCTGAGTAGCTGGGATTACAGGTGCATGCCACCATGCCCAGCTAATTCTTGTATTTTTAGTAGAGACGGGGTTTCACCATGTTGGCCAGGCTGGTCTCGAACTCCTGACCTCAGGTGATCTGCCCACCTCGGCCTTCCAAAGTGCTGGGATTGCAGGCATGAGCTGTGGTGCCCTGCCGGAGAAATCCTACTTCTTTGCCTAAACTTGAGTAGAGGTTTCTAAAGTTTAAAATAGAATTTAAACCTCGTCCTCATCCTCCTTTGCTTAGGTATCATACTATCAAGGACTTGTTTATGTAATAGATTTTATATTGAAGGTATTCAAGTAGAAGCTGTACTAATGTTATCGATGGTACTGGTACATCTGATAAATGACTGGTCCAGAGAATGCTTCCCAGGCCTAGCTGATCAAGAGAATTAACTCGAAAGTTTTAAACAATACAGATTCCATATCCTGACAATACTGAATCAGAATCTCTGAAGATGGAGCCAAAGGTATGTATCTCTAAGAAGCACTACTAATAATTTTTTACAGCTGATCCAGGACAAACTCCTGGGTAATTATTTAGGAATCTCTGGACTGACTTTTTTAAAAGACTCGTTTAAATATATAATTTTAATAACTTCTGACAGTGGAAATAGTACTGCACTAGAAATTAGGTGACTGAAATTCTAGTGCCAGCTCTGCTATTGGCTACTTTGATGATAGGCAAGTTAGTTCACCCTGTGGAGCCTCAGTTTTCCCTTCTGTAAAATTAGGGATGTCTAAAGTCCCTTCCAGCTGCAAACCCAGTCAATTTTACTTGTTTGGGCATTCTGAGGAACCAAGAATTGATTACAAAGATTCTAATTTCTAACACCTCTAGCTGTTTTTAAGGGCACATAAAGAGCTTACATGGACACTGCCATCTTAGAAGAAAGGTTCAAGATGGGGTCCATAGAACTCTTAAGAGTGCTATCATTGTTTTGGTAAACTTGAACAAATTTCCCTATAAAAACTGGGGACAAAATTCTATAAATATGTGGACAAAAGTCTCTTTGTGTTACCATTGGTTAATGGGTATGCCTGTAGCTACCACCTGAAACAGTTTTGGCTCTGACTCCGGAACCAAACTTTCTGGCCTTTTACTGTTTGGTAGGGTGATACAATTCACTTTATACAGCATACATGATCCAGCTTTTAGAATATATATATATATTGGCCGGGCGCGGTGGCTCAAGCCTGTAATCCCAGCACTTTGGGAGGCCGAGACGGGCGGATCACGAGGTCAGGAGATCGAGACCATCCTGGCTAACACGGTGAAACCCCGTCTCTACTAAAAAGTACAAAAAACTAGCCGGGCGAGGTGGCGGGCGCCTGTAGTCCCAGCTACTCCGGAGGCTGAGGCAGGAGAATGGCGTAAACCCAGGAGGAGGAGCTTGCGGTGAGCAGAGATCCGGCCACTGCACTCCAGCCTAGGTGACAGAGCCAGACTCCGTCTCAAAAAAAAAAAAAAAAAAAAAAAAAAAAGAATATATATATATATTTAGAAAAATATATATATATATATATATATTTTTGATATGGAGTTTAGCTCTTGTTGCCCAGGCTGGAGTGCAATGGCACAATCTCGGCTCACTGCAACCTCTGCCTCCTGGGTTCAAGCAATTATCCTGCCTCAGTCTCTTGAGTAGCTGGGATTACAGGTGCCCACCACCACACCCGACTAATTTTTGTATTTTTAGTAGAGATGGGGTTTCACCATGTTAGACTGGTCTGGAACTTCTGACATCAAGTGATCCCCCTCGCCTCAGTCTCCCAAAGTGCTGGGATTATAGGCGTGAGCCACAATGCCCGGATGTAGTTTGTTGGTTGGTTTGTTAAGAACTAATTGTTGGCCGGGTACTGTGGCTCACGCCTGTAATCCCAGCACTTTGGGAGA